CCACAGCCTCCATGGCTGAGAGCTCCCTGGCCCCCTCACAGCCCCGCCTCGCCTGGACCGCACCCACCGCGCCCGCGTCCCTGCCCTGCCCTGCGGTTCCCGTTTGCCACCACCTCCCACTTCCTCAGGGACATCGGTCCACCCGCTTAGGTTTCTTTGTCTATTGTCTGCCTCCCGACAGGGGCCGGGTCTTTGCTTTGTTCCCTGCTGCTCCCCCAGAGGCAAGCCCAGTGCCTGGCTCATAGTAGGTGCTGTGGAGGAGGGGGAGCCTCTAGGGGCCGCTCCCCCAAACTCACAGGTCAGCACCCTGGGCCCCTCGGTCCCCCCATCATCCTCCGCCACCACTGGTCAGCGGGACTCGCGATCACTGCTGACACTGATCACCATCAACAGCCGCACTTCACCTGCCACCTCCCTGGCAGCGGGCGCCCTTGCGACACCCCCCCTCGGTCTCCCTCACTCTCTTAGAGGAAGGGCCATGGGAGGGGGGGAGGGGTGGGCCACCCACTTTGGGTGGGCGTGGGGGCAGGACCAAGCTACGACACCTTCCAGGCGCCCTCAGCGTCATCTCTCAGGAGCATCCCTGCCCCACTCCACTCTGCTGTTCCTTAAAGCGCGGGTCCCTGCCGGCGGCCTGTGAGGCAAAGGGAGGGCCCGCAGCCGCCCTCTGTGCACCTTCGGGCCAGCTAACCCCACCCAGGGCTCTGATTCCTGCTGGAATCTCTGAGGTTCCTGTCAGAGGGTCCCACTGCTCAGGGCCTGCTCCCCTACTGTGGGGACATGTGCGCGAACATACGCAGCACAACACATGCCACACCAACCACACACCACACCCCACACACCCCTCTCGGCACCTTCAGCTTCTCCGACAGCCCCCCCTGCTGCTCCCACCTTCCCACCCACCACTGCAGAGGACCGGGACTTCAGAGCTGCTGCCTGGAGGGGCACCCGGCTTTGAACCCTGGAACTTTCCCTCCATTAATTAAGACACTTATTTTTCTTTTTTATTCCAGCTGGACAGAGGCTAGACCCACTGGGCGTACAGAAAGACAGCCCTGCAGCTGGCAGTAGGGAGGTTAGAGGCGGAGGGGAGGGTGGGGAGGAAGTGCCCAAACTGGAGCTTTAATGCAAAAATAAAATAAAAAGTCTAACCCGCCAGAGCTCTAACACAGAACTGCACTGCGGGGTGAAGAAGCCAGGGACTCAGAGCTGCCCCCCACCTCCCCGCTCCCACTTACAGGGGCAGCATCCACATCCACCCAAGGGGGAGGCGAAGGTGCCACCCACCGCAGGTACCAGGGCTCCCTTAGCTTCCGAGCCCTCCAGCCCACAGTCACAGGGCTGGTGACCGCCAGAGCCCAGCACTGCCCACCAGGCAGCCGCCCGCGTGAAAAAGAGGCAGCCAGGGGGGCAGGTGCCGGCCAGGGCAGGGCAGTGTTTACCAGAGGGGCTTCCGTTATGCTGATGAGGCCGAAGCCCGGCCCAGAGGACAGGACCCTGGCTGTGGGCAGCCCGGAGGCACCCAGCACAGGAAGCCGGGCTGGGTGGGTGGGTCCCACCTCCAGAGCGCAGAGCGGCTACTTGTTATTACCAGAGACCGACACAAGGTGGCGCCATGGTCAAGGGCAGGGCCACTGGGTCCCTGCAGGTGGGCAGCTCTGCAGACAGGACCCCACAGATCCCACGGGGTGCCTGCCTCCTGCCGGCCTCCCCCTCAGTCCTGGTCCAGAGCCTTCCCTGGGCCCTGTGGTTGGAGGAAGCACAGCTGAGACCAGAACCAGCCCCCGGCTCCTGCCAGGCCTTCGGTAAGCTGCCACCTGCCCCCCGGACACCCCGACACCAGCCTTCCTGAAAGCGCCATCCACACACAGGGCCAACAGCGTGTCCTCTCGGGTCAGAAGGGCCCAAAGCCAAGAGCAGCAACTCGGCGGGCGCGGATCTGCCCGCGCGCACGGCAGGGCGAAGCATTCATTCACTCACATTCGTTTCCTCCACACTTTCCCTTGGGCCCCTGCTATGTGCCAGGCACGGTGCCGGGACCTAAAACTCAGGCTGCCTCCCTGGGCCCTCCCAGCAGCAGCCCTGCGTGGAGGGGCTGGCATGGCCCCATTCTACAGACGAGAAAACCGAGGTTTAGGAAGGAGGCGTCCACTGCCCCAGCGCACACAGCCGGGATGGCTCCACGCGGGGCAGGTGGCCACAGAGGTGGCTGTCACCTCCCACACAGCTGCTGCCCCAAAGGGGGCCTGGGGGGGCTGGTTTGCTCAGAATTGTGAGTCCATCCTCTGTTCTGGGGCCTGGGGAGAGGCAGGGCCACCGAGCCCCGATCCACAGGGACCTTGGGCCTTCCTCAGCCCCAGCTGCTACAATCCCCAGGTGCAGAGGGGCCGGGCTTAACTGGGCAGTGGGCTGGGTCACACCACACCACACCGTGTGAGCCACCGTCTGGCTGAGCGGCCTCAGGCAGCTGCCTCACCTCTCTAGGCCTGAACGAGCTAATGCCAATCCCATCCTATCGGGTGTGGGTGGGATGAAATGCCTGGCGTGGCCCTGGCTAGAAGTGAGGCTGCCATACCCCCCATAACCCATGGCACTGCCCACGGCGTGTGACCCAGGGCACTGGAGTGCGGAGGGAAGCCCCTCCCGGCGGGGCCCACCCTGGCCCAGCCTCACCTCTGGCAGGGCACGGCAGGCTGGCGTTCTCCCCTGCCACTCTCTCCAGCAGCCCGCCGGTCTCATCAGCTCCCCAGTGCGGTGGCTCTGGTGGGAGGTGATGGGGCCACACTCATCCCCCGGCCCAAAGCTGGGTCCAGGGCCTCTGGGGAGGGCGTCCCCCCTCCAGAGCCCCAGCCCGACATAAGGGGGTGCAAGCCCTGTGCTGCAGCCCTCAGCCTCAGGGTGAGGGAGTCAGGGCCGTGGTGCTGGCTGGCCCCCACAGGGTGGCCCACGGAGAAGCCACCAGGGCCACACGGGGCCCCAAGGGCTGGAGAGGCGGGGCTTCCCCTCCAGCTGCGCTTCCCAGGTTTGTTTAAATTCACAGCGGAGGGGATGCTAGCGCCACAGGCCCAGATCTTTCCATGCACCTGGTGCTTTGCACACATTCCCTCGCTGACCACTCACATATTATCAAACCCAAACTGAGGTCAGAGAGTGTAAATGACTGGCCTACAGTTGTCCAGCTGGTAAGTGGAGGGAGCTGGACTGGGGCCCCGGCCCTGCTCGTCAATCACTTCCCCAGTGGACAGAGTATCCACGGGGCTGACAAAGGCTCTACAACGGGGCTTGGGGAGGGAGGAAGGCAGGCCCTGAGCCCAGAAGAGCAGACAAGCACCTCGGAAGGCCAGGCTGCTGTTGGGAAGGTGGGGAGTGGTGAGATGTGGGGTTCAGGGACTCACCCAGCACCCTGAGCTCCAGCTCCCAGGCGTCTACCCCGGCGCTGTTGGCGGCCTCGCAGCGGTACATGCCAGCGTCAGAAGTTCGGATGGCTGCAAAATGGACGGAGCCCTCGGGCCCCCCGCCCCGCAGGGCCTCCCCATCCTTGGACCAGTTCAGCCTGGGCTCTGGGGTGCCCTCGGCCACGCAGTTCAGGTCCACAGCTTCACCCGCCAGGACCTTCAGGACCCGCGGGCCTGGCTGCACCTGAGGGGGTACTGACAGGGACATGGGGAGGGGTTCAAGGCGGGGGC